ATATATATATATTCAGATTTTCATTTGTTACATATCCCAGTTTGGAATGCTCTTCTATTTAGCAAGTTTTGGAAATAATAATCACTTCCTGTCCTTGCTTGGGAGCCCCAGGTGGGGATGCATCTAGCCACTTTAAGAGCTCCTGGGTGCAGATGGATATGCTTATAGCAGGCTGCTTCCTTACATGGCTCTCTCTTGTTCAAGACGGGAATCTCAGACCCAGGGGGCCAGGTCTCTGTATGCAGACCTCACAACTCTTGCCAGGTCACACCTATCCCTGAAATACTTCCCCTCACTGGCCCTGCTCTGTACTCTTCTCAGATGCTTCTCCTGGCATCACAGAAGTATATGGAATCACAGAAGTATAGAGATGGAAGGGACCCCAAGGGTCATCTAAGTCCAACTCCCTACAATCCAGGAATCTCAGCTAAAGCTTCCATGACAGATGACCATCCAACCTCTGCGTAGAAACCTCCAAGGAAGGAGAGTCCACCACCTGCCAAGGGAGACTATTCCACAGTCAAACAGCTCTTGCCATCAGAAAGTTTTTCCTGCTGTTTAGTCAAAATCTTTATTGTAGCTTGAGTCCATTGGTTCGGGTCCTAACCTCCAGAGCAGGAGAAAACAAGTTAGCTCCATCTTCTATCTGCAAGCCCTTTACATAGAGAAAGGTGGCATGTAGAAACCTCTTAGTTTTGTGTGGCTAGAACGTACCCTACCTTCCACATTTAAGAGTCACCTCTGTTGTCCTGTCCACTGTAGGCTGGGCCTTGCTCATCTCTGACATAAGAAAGTTGCCTATGAGCAGGGCTAGCTCAAGATAGTTCAGCACCCACAGGATGGTGCCCCTCCTCCTGCCAGTTTAGTGATGGAGGTGACGATATGTTGCATGATTTCTGTTTAAAGTCAAGCACCAGCTGTTATGAAATAGGTTGCAGAACTTACCATCTTAACAACTGGATTTCTAAATGTTTCTATTTCTTATTTCATTTTGGAAGCTTTAGTGACCGCTCTTTTCAGTTTAAGCTTCCTAAAATGGGAAGCCGTGAGAATGGTCAGGCTGCAATCCTAGGCACATACTGGAAAGTAAGTCCTATTGAACTCAAGTGGAACTTACTTCTGAGTAGACATGTAGAGGTTTGCAGTGTAAGGCTCTATTTACATTTAAGGACTAAACACGCCACGTGTTCCCTAAATAAACCACTGGCTCTTGTACCGTTACAATGTTAATTACGTGGACCGTCCTACAACCACCTGGAAAGGAAAGGAAAGGAAAGAAGCATTGGAGGCTGCCTCACCTCCTTCCCTTCCTCTGTGCTGGAGTTTTGGGAGAAGGGTTATATTGTAGATAGTGTGGGGGTCTTCCCTGCCTCCCTTACCAGCTCCTTCCTCCCAAGAAAGGAAGTTTGTGTGTGCAACCCTTAGGGGTTGGGAGGACAGCAGCAAGTTCTCCTGGTTTGCCACCTGAGGCACCGGCCCTGCCTATGAGGAAATGTGACTCCTGGGCTGAAACATGTTCCCTGTCCCTTGCCTCTCACCTCATCTTCCTTCCCTCCTACCAGTCCCAATTTGCAACGGGCAACACTGGTAGGCACTGCTTTGAGCTCCTTGAAGTAAGGATAGGAGGCCGGTGGGAAACAGAAAGATCTTCAGATGCTTTCCAAACAATGATTAACCAGCTTAGGCATCAGTTTATAACACACACACCCAATCAAAGATTAAAAAATGAGCCCTCAAACATATTGCCAAATTTATGATAGCTTGAAGTGCACTGTGATCTGTGTTCATGTGCTATAACCAACTCCAGGTGTGATAAATTTCCAGCCGAGAAAATGTTTTTATGTTAGTCCACCAACACTGCCATCCATCATATTTCCATTATTTTCTTTGCATTCATTATATCTAGGCACATACTTTAGAAAATAAAGATTAATACATCCAGGCATAATCTGTCTCAGGTACCCAAATTTTCATTAGTACCCCAAAGATGTCACATTCACTAGGACTCTATGTTCTGCTAACTTTATTTCAGAGTTTCAAAACTTGAGCATTTTATTTAACATGGCCCTAAGGAGATTGTTCAACCAGCACAATCATTTCTGCTTGCCCAACAGAATGATCTCCTCTCGGCTCCTGCTGTGTGCTGTTCTGAAAGTTCTCCTAACCTTCCCAAGCAGATCTGGGCATGGGGAAAAGGGATGAAGCCCATTCTGCTAGCAGGAATCATTGCACTGGCTTTTGCTAGCGCAACTATTTACCTGAATATGGTCCTTGCTCTTTGGGGAGTGAGATCTCTAGAGTGCATGACATCTGGACATGAATGTCTCTTTCATGGGTTATAAAGATATATAGCCATTGTAAGGTGAATAAAGACAAATGCAGGGCGCTGTATTTCTATTGCTTGACATCTGGCAGACCTCCGGTGTCTCAAATGCCCACAAGCATAGCCCATCCTTGTATCTCAGGATTCTGCACGCAATTATGAGAAAAACTTTGCAGAAAATAAAATCTGTACACATGAGGATCACACAAATGCACGAAACACACCGAGCTTAGAAATGCTAATATCAGATTGGTCAAGAGATGTGGGACATAACATAATGTCTGAAGACTGGGAAAGGTTGTGGAGGAAAGGGGTCAAGTTCACTGCATGTACGGTGTTAAAGGAAAATATTATGAAAATGATGTATAGATGGTACTTAACTCCTGTAAAATTCGCAAAGATCTATCACAATAATGATAATCTTTGTTGGAAATGTAAAGAAAAAGAAGGTACCTTTTATCATATGTGGTGGACCTGCCCCAAGGTGAAAGACTTCTGGGAGAAGATTTATAATGAATTGAAAAAAATGTTGAAATATACATTTATTAAGAAACCAGAGGCCTTTCTTCTTGGAATGACAGGTTTGGAATTGCCCAAGAAAGATGTTAGATTGTTTTTGTATGCCACAACTGCAGCTAGAATTTTGTTAGCCAAGAACTGGAAAACACAAGAAGTGCCAACAGTGGAGGAATGGCAGATGAAGATGATGGACTTTTCGGAGCTAGCCGACCTGACTGGAAGAGTCCGTGACCAGAAGGAGGAAGAGTACCAGGAGGAATGGATGAAATCCAAAGACTATTTAGTTAAATATGCTAAGATAATTTAAACAGAAATACATGCAAATACCAGATAGGCTTAGGATTTAAATATGTGACGTTACAGAATAATATGTTTAAATTTAAAATGAAAAGAAAGAAAGATGTTAATTGATTAAGTAAATTTTATGAGAAAATTGTTTTGGAAAACTGTTACAATGATGTACACTGAAACTCAGCCAGGAGGATTTGAGGAAGTCACTTAACAATGTTACTAAGAGTAGAATAATTACAGTTAGGATTTATGTTTGTTTGTTTGTTCATAAATTTTGGAAAATCAATTAAAAAAATTGGGGGGGGGAAGAAATGCTAATATCAGAGTCCTTCTATAGGTGGTATCTGACGCCCAGTAAATTACTTAAAATGTACAAGGGAGGGTCCAAACTGTGGTGGAATGTTACCCTCCTCAACTCTGCTGCACACTCCACCAAGCTATCCTGGTGCAGTTGTGAGCCCTGACAAGGCCCACCACTGCTGCAAGGTTTGTTGCCACTGCTGCAAGGTCTCTGCCGAGGTCCACTAAGACCATTGACATACTTCTGGAAGCTGGTGCCACACCAAAAAAAAATAATTTCTGCTCACCCAGTAAAAGGAGGTTTCCGAGCTGACTGATCTGTCCACTCTCCCAATCTTGGCTAAGCAAATCAGTCTCCTAACCTTAAGCCAAGAAATAGTATTCTCTACGAAACTGAGTATCAATATACATATCAAGGCTTTGAGTTTAGACCACTGAAGAATCCTGGAAAACTACTTTGGGAGTATGCTACCTACAAGCCCCAGTAAAAGGGCCCCATCAGGGGTGAACAGCGGTCACTTGCTTACTTTGACTGCCAGGGCAAAACAAGTGTGAAACGCCGGCACCCTGTCTGCAACTTCATTAAGATCCATCTTGAACTTCACTAGCATCTCTCGGTATTGTGAACAACACCGAACTTACATCTTGTTGGTATCTTCATGAACTTACATAAAAAGATGAAGAGGCCTGTGGCCAGGGCAGGCCAGGTCATCCTTTTTTATACCTGCTGCTGGGATTGACAAAGCTGCCTCTGATTGGTTGACAAGGAATTCTTTGATTGACAAGGCATCTGACCCTCCCCTTCATCTCATAGCTCACCAATTAACCAATTAACCAACTCTAGGCCAAACCAATCAACCAACTAGAAGGATTACTGTTCATCTCTTTTCCTTAGGGTCTCAACAAAAGTTTTTTCTGGTTCTTGTGGATGATTATAGCTGGTATACTTGGGTATACTTGTTAAAACACAATAGTGAAACTGGTCAACTGACTAAAAATTGGGTGAACTATATAGAAAGGCAGTTTCCCTACAAAGTTGCCCAATTGCAAAATGACCGTGGAGGCAAGTTCATGTCTGAAGCCCTCCAGATATGGTTGAAAAAGTGTGGTATTAGTCACCGTAAATTGTGTCCTTTTTCGCCTGAAGAAAATTCAGTTGCAGAACGCAAGATAAGGTCTTTGCAAACAATGCTAGATTCTATGCTATGTGATTCTGGCTTATCCAGGAAGTTTTGGGTGGAAGGAATTCTCTGTGCTAATTACATACAGAACAGATTGTTTCATTCTACCATAAACAATACCCCTCATTTTTTGCTTTATGGAAAAAAACCCTTTTTGGACCATGTTAAAACTTTAGGTTGTTGGGCTTGGGTTCTCATCCCAAAAGGACAGAGAAGGAAAGGCGATCCCAAGGCAAAGAAACAGGTTTGTTGGCTATCAAAGTTGGTAAAAGGGTATCGTTTTGCACTAGGGTGTGGCAGAGTTGTGATATCAAGGCATGCAGAGTTTTGTGAGCAAAATGGTTGGGCTCGTTTACATGGAAATTCAGAAGTTGTTTTATCTTCAGATGATACAGATAAATTTGTGAAATCTGAGGAAGAAAAGCCACAAAATAAAGAAAGTTCTGAAAGTGATAGTGATGAGGAATCAGGGGACGAGGGTCCCAGCACACAATCTCCTAAAGCTGAACCAATTTCTCCTGAGCAAGATGAATCAGAAGGGGAAGATAGTTCAGAGGGGGAAAGTGCTCAAGTTAGAAAATCACAAAGAAGCAATAAGGGGGTGCCTCCAGAAAGGTTTACTATACAAAAAGTTAAAACTGCTGATGTGAAGAAAGAACCTCGTGATTATGAGGAGGTTTTAAAGTTACCACACCAGGAAATAGTAATGTGGAAAAATGCAATGAGAGCAGAAATGAAATCTTTGGCAGAACATAATGTGTTTACTATTGAGCCATTGCCAGAAGGAAAAAAGGCAGTGGACTGTAGATGGGTGTATAAAATAAAACACTTGGCAGATGGTAGTGTTAAGTACAAAGCTTGGCTGCTTTACGCAAAGAAAAGGTGAAAGTTTTGATGAAACCTTTTCTCCTACTGCAAGGAGCGAAAGTGTACGTTTATTGCTAGCTCTTGCAGCACAAAGACTCTCCTCCCTGGAAGAGAGGGGAGTGGTTGTGGGCGGGAGCCCGAGCACCGCCCCTAGCAGGGGGCGTTAGCCCCCTGCCTCCACCTCACCTGGCTGGCGCCCACGCCCCCTCTGCAGGCATCCAACCAGGTGCCTCGGAGGGGGCGTGTTCAGCAGCCTTTTGCTGCGGCGCCAGCCTCTCCCTGGCCTCATTCTTCGCTGTCGTCTCGTCGCGAGTCAGGATAGTCTCCCGTCCGTTCCCAGCAGCGACGACCATGTGGATCTAACTTAGAAGAGGAGCCTTAACAGAGAAGTTTTGCCTTACCTTTTCCTGTCTTTTCCGCTGTTTTTCCCCTCTGCGATAGTTGCTTTTGGGAGGGATACGTTTTAGTTATTAGAGCTATTTGCGTAATTTGGGCTTTGCTTTCTCTGGTGTACCTTCGGCTCACGGCTGCACCGCTCCTAAACTCTGCATTTCGAAGCAGCCCGACCTGTGTTGATTTGCTCTATCTGGGAGTCTCTTTGTACATCCCACTTTCCTTATAATTAATTGGAACATAACTCTTTGATTGGGTGTTTCTTCCTGCTTCCTCATCTGGCGTCCATGTTAGCTAATTTGGATTCTTCTTAACGCTCCTCCGACACAAAATCGGTCACTCGGTGTGCGTGTGTGTGTGTGTCCAGATGTTATCCCAGGTGATCATCTATCCCCTAAATTACGTGCGAAAATTTTAAATGGTGAGTTTGTTGATATGTTCAAGTTAGTTCCTCCTGCAGAGGAGTTAGGTAGGGGTGAAAAGAGGCCTTCCCATGGGAAGAGAAAGAGCAAGTACCCTTCCGTGCCTAGGACATTTGAAAACTGGCTCGATGGTTTTCAGGCCTTTATGGGGACGATTGTAGCAGCTTATCCAAAGCGAGCGGTTCACCTTGTTGCTTACCTTTTGCATATCCGTACGGCTTGCACCCTCTCAGGGGAAGCCGCCACCATAAGCTATGACAAGAAGTTTTGAAGGAAGGCTTCTAGGATCCCGTTAGCACGCTGGGATCAGATCGAGAATGGCATCTGGTCAGTGGCAGTTGGTCCATATGTGGAGAAAAAACCGGCTGACCCATATCGATCGGCCAGGACCGAGCAAAGAAGGGATTTCAAGCGCAGGGTATGCTGGGAGTACAATAAAGGGTTATGCCAAGGTCATCTTGTAAATACCCGTATGAATGCGACAGATGCGCCGGGGCTCACCCTATAACATCTTGCTTTAAGGGGGGGAAGCAGCCCTTTCGTGGAGGCCGGGGGTTCCATCATTCCAGTTCCAGGGGAGCCCCCGCGGCAGGGAACAGAAGATAAGGTAGTTCTGGAATTGGCGTTTCCCCCCATCAAGCTCGCCCCCCTTTGCAACCTTCTGTCTTTTTACCCGGATAAAAATGCAGCCTCCTACCTCCGGGAAGGATTTTCCAGTGGGTTTAGAATCCCTATTGCAGGTTCTTTGATAGCAAAAGATTCCCCCAATCAAAAGTCAGTTAGGGAGAGACCGGAAGTCACCGAGAGAAAGATAGCCAAGGAAGTGAGCGCAGGCAGGGTAGCAGGCCCGTTTGACAGACCCCCCATCCCAAATTTACACGTATCGCCATTAGGCATCGTCTCCAAGAAGACCCCTGGGGAATTTAGGCTGATTCACAATCTTTCTTATCCGAAAGGCGGCTCGGTCAACGATGCCATCCTGCAAGAGTTATGCACGGTAAAATACGCCTCCTTTGACCAGGCAGTTAATCCGGAGTTTTGGTCGCGGGGCACTTTTAGCAAAGTGCGATATTGAATCGGCCTTCCGCCTTTTGCCAGTGCACCCTAGTGATTTTTGGTTGCTGGGCTTCAAATTTCAAGGAAAATACTACGTTGACAGGGCCATGCCAATGGGCTGTGCAGTAGCCTGTTCGGCATTTGAAACTTTCAGCACATTCTTGGACTGGGCCTTGCGTTTCAGGACCAATTCCACTGGGGTCATGCACTATCTGTGGGGGAGTCCAACACGGAGGAATGCGCCTCCTTGCTTGGGGCCTTCTCAGCTCTGGCCCAGGACCTGGGTGTTCCCCTCGAAAAAACCGAGGGACCGGCCACGCGCCTCACGTACCTGGGCATCGAGTTGGATACAATTGCCCAATCATCCCGCCTGCCTGAGGAAAAAATTGACGCCCTTAAGGAAATAATCTGAAACACCCTTACGCTAAGGAAGATCACCCTTAGACAAATTCAATCCCTATTAGGTCACTTTAACTTCGCTTGCAGGGTAGTTTCCCCCGGACACCCCTTCTGTGCCCGCTTAGCCAGGCTGTCAGTTGGTCTTAGACACCCACACCACAGGGTCCGCCTTTCAAAGTCAGTTAAGGCCGACCTGGAGGTGTGGACGTCATTTTTGGAAAACTACAATGGGGTATCTCTATGGCAGGATGTTTTAAATTTGTCATCAGACTTCCAGGTCCAATCAGACGCGGCTGGGTCTCTAGGCTTTAGCTTGTACTTCAGGGGACGTTGGTGCGCGCAACGATGGCCAACGGCATGGCAGGGTCGGGCCATCACGCGGGATCTCACCTTTCTTTAGTTTTTTCCAATAGTGGTGGCCGTTCATATCTGGACGGAGGACTTTCGAAATCGCTGTGTATGCTTCAGGACCGACAACCTGGCAGTGGTGAACATACTAGCCAGGCAGTCATTGCGGTCTGAGAGGGTCTCCTCCCTTCTGCGGGCGTTCGTTCTCCGGTGCCTTGAGTACAACATAATTTTTTCAGCCAAATTCATACCAGGAGTCAATAATGATATAGTCGATGTCTTGTCTCGCTTTCAGATATCTCGCTTCTGGTCGCTAGCACCTGGAGCACAACTGTTGCCCGAACCCTTTCCGGAGCACCTGTGGAACGTTGGAGACGCAAAGTGATACAGGGAGTATTAGTGTCCGTCGCACCCTCCACTCTCAGGTCTTACAAGAAGGCATGGTGCGATTTCCTGGGTTTCAGGTCTGGGTTATCTGGGCTGTCGCATAACGTGCCACCCACCACTGATGATGTCCTGCAGTACCTTTCCCATCTTGATGATTTGGGACGTGCTCCCAAGACCTTGAAGATACATGTAGCCGCCATCAGCTTCTTTTCAAAAGCCACATTTTCCTATGACCCGTGTAGAGACTTCCTGATCCATAGAGCTATTGAGGGTTGGGGCAGGTTACAACCTCCCGGGGCCGAGGGCCGTAAGCCAATTTCTTATGGGTTGCTATCTCAGATACGCATAAAACTCAGGTCAATTTGCTGGACCAAGTTTGAGGCCCGTCTCTTTTCCGCAGCGTGCGCTATCGCCTTCTTTGGCGCACTGAGAGTTGGCGAAGTGGTGGTTGAAGTTAGGGCACGCGGTTCAACATGCGGCCTCCTCAGGGAGGACGTGCAGTTGTCCGAAACTTCTGTGACGGTGCGGATACGTCAGTCCAAAACTGATCAGGCCGGTAGGGGTGTCCTAGTTAAGCTTGCAGTGTCGGCGCAGCGGGGCCCATGCCCGGTAAAGGACACTAGGCGGTACCTCTACCTCAGACCACCCGGCCCGGGTCCGCTTCTGGTTCACGAAGATGGGTCACCCTTATTGAGACACCAATTCACCAGGGTACTCCGCAAGGCTATCGAAGCTTGTGGTTTGTCCTCCCAGGAGTATGCTGCGCACTCATTTAGGATTGGCGCCGCAACAACAGCCGCCCACTTGGGCCGGTGGAAATCCAATGCTTATAAGAGTTATATTCGCTAGAACGCGCTCTGCTACATTACCCTGCTTACCTGCTCTTTCTGTCCTTTTATCCTCAGCTGTGCTCAGGAGAAGTGTATGGATTTGCGGCCACAGTATAGTCCATTGGGCCCGCGTACAGGCGGTCAGCCGCGGCCTCGCGCCTAATCTTGGTTTTCCACCCGGAGTTCGAGTTTCCTGGTTTTCGAGAAGAGGCATGCGTTGGGAAGAGCTTATGCCTTTGCTGTTGGAGAAAGTAGCCACGTTTGGCCCTCCCGACATCCTTGTCATTCAATTGGGGGAGAACGACCTTGCTAACAGAAGGAGTGTGGACTTGTTGTCAAACATAAAAAGAGACTTGAATGCGTTTGCTGCCTTATGTCCCAGAACGACGGTGTTCTGGTCCTCCCTCCTGAAGAGAATTTTTTGGCGCGGTGTGCAGAGCTGTATGGCCATTGAAAAAACCAGAAAACTCGTAAATCGGGCAGTGACCCGTTGGTTGCACTTCATGTATGGCCGTGTCATTTATCATGACCGTATCCGGATCAGCGACCAAGCCTTATACCGGAATGACGGGGTGCATCTATCAGATCTGGGGAACGATATTTGGTTAGATAGTGTCAGCAATAGTATCTGGGATTGGTTGCAGCCGTGAGGGTATTGGCGGCGAGCCTTTAGGCTCGGGTGGCGGTTAGGCATTGGAATAATGTGTTGTGGTGTGTCGAAGGGCTAGGTGTGGCCATCGCCTATGCCTTCAATTTTTGGGTATTCCGTTAAAGGAATCTGGCGGTCGTGTGTTCTGTCCGATGCCTGCTTGGCGGGAGGCCATGGCACGACCCTCGGTGACATCAGGGGGGAGCCTATAGTTGGATTA